ATATATATGTGTGTGTTGGTAATAGACCAATAGACCATAATTTTCACATTATTCTATAAATTCTACCGAATGTTTGACGTTAATATGTTTGTAGTTCGTTTTTTCGATTTTTCTCACTAAAGTTTTTTGGTGAACGTTTAGTTTATTAAAATATATATATTATATATATTATATATATATATAGGTTCACGAAATCAATTCCCTCCTTACACCATCTACCGTATTTATCTCGACTACAAGCAGTTAAAATGCAAACTCTGGAACACCGCAGATTAATTTATGACTTAAGCTTTTTAAACAAAATTCTTAACAAAGATATCCAAACTGATCTGATTGAGAAATTCATCCCGGTTTCGTATTTGTCGACTCGTGGGCATCAGAATAAGTTACGTGAATTAAACACTAACGACAACGTGTCCAAATACTTCTTCTGCAACAGAATCATACGTATATGGAATGCGTTGCCAAAAGAAGTGGTGTCCTCAACATCTCATGCCATCTTCAAGAATCGCTTACTGGCTGTTGACTTGTCCAAATATTTACTAATCAAACAACTATTACATTAATGTTTGTTGTCATAATTATTGTGCTCTATGATAAAAATTTATTTTATTATGTATTTATTTCTTTGTTTTTTTTGATGTTGATGGATAACAATGAACTCGAAAGCGAAATCTGTGTTTACATTTATTAGTTAAGTTCTTTGCCATACTGATTGCTTGTGTGATGATGTTGATTGATGATAGCGACAGTAATATTTTTATGTAGATTTATTCTTCTTGACGTTACGTTTAGAGAAATTGTTTTTCTTTTTTATCAACTAGGTAAGTGGTCTTTTAGATCCTCTGGTTGTTTGTGAATAAATAAATAGGTTGGAACAAAATGTTATTGAAGAGACCTGGTCTAGCAAACAACGTTGTGGCCAATTACAGACCCATTTCGAACTTTACCTTCGTATCCAAAACAATTGAAGGAATTGTTGCTCGCCAGCTCCTCGCTTACCTCAACAAAAACTCACTACTTCCAAAAGTTTAATCAGGTTTTTGTCGAGTATATTCAACTGAGAGAGCAATCTTGAAGGCGGTTTCAGATGTCTGTGACGCCATTGATGCTGGTAACATATCATTGCTGGCACTTCTCGATATCAGTGCTGCTTTCGACACAGTTGACCACCAGATATTATTGAATTGTCTTTCTACTTCATTTGGTATTGATGGAGATGCTCTCAGGTTGTTCAACGCGGCTGGACTTGAATAAATAGCGAAAGATCGATCTACATGGTAGAGGATTTGTAAATCTGGTCTCACAAGTTTTATGTTGGAATGAACAAATACCTCTCACAGGCGTCGATTTATCCGTTATGCAACAACATCAAAAGAATTGAAACCAGAACTGGTTTCAATTCTCGATGCCCCCATTGTGGTAAACCATGCGCATCAGATTTAGGGTTAAGAAGTATTTATGATCTCATAGAAGGCCGAATATCACTTAATAGCAACACAACAACAACAATTCATGCAGGTCATAGCATGGCAACATTTTTTAGTTAGACTGAATGGAATGCTAATGCAATTGGTGTTGGTTTTCCTATTGAAGATGCTCAGAAAATTCTTCCAATGTGACTGCTTAAAGTTGTTGATTTTTGTTAAATGTTTGAGCGTGGCTGTGTCTTTAGATGAGGGATCAATGGATCTGATATTATTGCTCTGTTCTATTAGTTCAGTGGGGGAATGCGAAATAGTTTCACAGCTGCTGACAAGTCGGGAGAGAGGACGATGCTTGAAAGGGCAGCTTTAGTATCAACAGGAAATTTGCTTTTGCTAAATTTGTAAATTTAATTTTAAAGATTATGGTTGGTTGTACTGTTGTTTGTTGTTTGTAGTATGATATGGATTGGAAGCATTCATTGTCTCTATGAAACAGTCCATGTAAACGTTAATGAAAAAAAGAATGTCATATGATTACCGGATTTAAGTTTATGGTATCTTATACAAAGACTGATAAGCATTACATAAAATGTAGCGCTTTAACTTGCACCCAATACATTTGAGTTATGCAGGAATTTAATTAATAAAATTGAGCATAGAACTTGTTATTCGCTAACGTTTCTAGTTTTTTTTTATAAAAACTGAAACTGAAAGAAAATTAAGAACAAGTTGTATTTAAAAGATTAACCTTGATTGTAAAATAATAATCATAAAATTATTTTATATGAATTATGTTATAAATTTTAAGCACAAATTACTGTACACTACAGTTTAACCAGAAAAAGTAACCAATTGAAAATTATATGTAATTGTAATTATTATCCATTGGTAGTTTTATAAAAAGTCATTTAATTTTATTTTCTAATTACGTAGTGTCGCATAATAATGAGCTGTGGAAATTTATTATTTTATATTAAATTTAATTGTTGCAAATATGTCTATTTGAAAACTTTCAGGACATCGTCAGAGCTTCATGGTTGTGCAACAATGCAGTCCTATGGTGACAAAATCAGATGAACTAGTTTAATTTCTTCTACTCATTTTTTCATTTTTTTTATTCTTCACAAAAATAGAAAAAGTTATGGCAATAGGAAATTTTTTATCTCTTGTATATGAGTTTAGTACCATCTTATAATCAATTATTCATGCAAGTCAGTAATTGTTTATCGACTGCAGTTGGTAAATTATTGAAGAAATGGAAAATTATGTCATCCATGAAGATAAAAGTTTCAAATGCGATTTTGCTGTTGAATCTTATTTAACAAGTTTGGATGAAAAAAGTAAAGCTAGTTTTGATGAAATATATTTTTCTGGTGACATTGATGTGAAAGAAGAAATTGTTAAAGAGTCAAACACATTGTTTATTCCATCTTATAAAGAAGACTTTCCTTCAATAAATTTGAAGACATCTGACGACCATGTTTTGAACAACTGCTCAGCAACTGCTGATCATTTCAGTTGTAAAAATGATTTGTTAGTCAACAATTCAGTTGAAGAATTTCCAAAGTGTGATTGTCATGTTCCTAGTGAGCCACTTTTTATTACTTTCGTTAAATATTTTTTTCAATTAAAGTTAATAGCATGACTTGAGGATTTATTTGCAGTAATTATTTTATTGACTGCATTGATTATTTTATTAAAACCAATAATAAACTATGAACAAACAGATTTGGATATGAGAATGAGTTTTAGTATATAAGCGTTATATTATTAAATAAAATGAAAATATATAAGAAAATCACAGTATTTTCCGCGTTAGGATCCTGTTTAATTTTTTTAACGGTAGATCGTAAATCATTGTTAAGTTTCTTGACTTCAAAACCAAAATTGTTATTCATTTCAAGCATGATAAAACAAAAAATATTTTTTCGGTAATCCTATACCATCTTCGGTGTTCGAATTGATACGCTGTTTATGTGGCCGAATGCTCAAGTATCCTGTGACTCTATAATGTCAATTCTCTGTTTGTTTAATGTGAATACTTAACGGTCATCTAATTAGTTATTACAACCTTCAACTTAGTGCAATACGACACTTTTACGTGTCATCATTTTCGATGATTCCTCTGTTTCTGAATTTATTAATGGGAAGGATTACATTTGCACGTTGTTGATTTTTCATCATCGGATATCTTTGTTCAATGTGTATGGATTTGGCTAGTCGTAAATTATAATGGTTGTTATTGTAATGTAAGATTTCAACATTGTTGTCCAAGATTTGCCTAGTAATTTAAGTTTTGTGTATTTCTTTTATGTCATTTGTTATGTACTTGTACTGGCCAAATTACCTGCTGCAGAAGCCGGTTGGAAATTCTCGCCCTTTAAAACTTTTATATATCGTATCGCCTGCTCGCTGTATATACGATATTTTCACATATTTTATACGATGATGGTGGAGCGTCAAAGTTGACATTGATGAGATTTGTTTTATTTAACAGACGGTTGAATTATTCTTTCCACTGTAGCTTGATCTCACCTTGTTCAAGAACCATCTCATTTTTGTCGTTTTTGATACATGAGGCACCAACTATGTCTTTTTTCGTACGCTTTGCTTGTTTTGCTATTCGATACAGAGATTTCATTTGTTCACCTTTGCTTTTAATGAGCCACTCTCTGCACTGGTCTGTCCGAGCCAGTGCGACTTGACGTCTTGCATAGTTGTTCTTCTCACGGAAAATTTTATGGTCATCAACAGACTTTGATTTTTGCCATTGCCTGTATGCAACTTTCTTTTCAGCTATTGCATTTTGTACACTGTCATTCCACCACCAAGTGTCCCGTTCGTGCTGACGTTTTGTACCAGTTTTCCCACAAACAGTAGTTGCAGCGTTTATCAAAACGGTTTTGTATGTACTCCAATCTGTACTGGCTTGCGATTGGTGGTCTAACTGTGTGGCGACAATCTGTTGAAATTTAACAGTTCCCAGTTAACAGAAATTTATCAGTTCCTGCAAGTGCTTTCAAATTACTTTCATTAATGTTCACGATTTCCTTATTTTCATATCATTTGTAACTTGTAGGTGCCTTTGTTCTGATAGGTTTTTAATTTTGTTATCCAGATTTAAGGTGATAGAATAAAATGGCTCACAGGCAGTTTATGCTGTTTCACTTTTTATATAACTATTATATATTTATACACATGTTTTATATATTTCCATTTCAATGCAATTTTTCTTGCCTGTGAAACCAATTTTTTTTTGTTAATTTGAATTTTTGTTTTAATGTTTTGGTTTAATATCTAAGTAACTTTTTTCTAATGTTTTGTACAATTCATTTTTAAATGAATAGCTTAATTGGTCCGTTCTTGTATTGAAATTTACTCTAATTCTATTATTTTAATACGCATTTCTTCTGTATTACTAGTGGTTCAAAGTAGCTTGCACCATTCTTTTCTTCATGAATTAATTTTACATGTCTTGCTATTAATATTATATGGGCAGGGCATCGAATCATATGGATGCTTGAAATTTAAATAGTTTACTAATTAGTCATGAATTAGTGAATTGTTGAGTGAATGAAATTTGTAGGAGCCTATGATGAGGCTTTGGATGGGCCTTTTTACACGCACCTTGGTACTGCTCCATCAATTGCACACATCAGGAGGATCATGATTGACAGGTTCAAATTTTATTTAGGATTATTATATTCATTAGCATTGATTTATTGTTACAATGGTCGTTCAGAAATTTTCATTTTTTATGATAATAAATGATGTTGACTACAGTAATTTTTCTTAGAGAATAATATTTCTAACATTCTGTTAAATCATAGGTTGATGATTAAAGATAATGAACTTCGCATAGAAAAAGTGATTTACACTGGCAAAGAAGGCAAAAGTCTTCAGGGTTGTCCGGTTGCAAAATGGGTTTGTGAGCTGAATTTGTAATCTTGTGTATGTTTTGTCCATATCTTTGCTACCTTCGTCAACATTGCAAGGTTCAAATATTAAAGACAAACAAGTGCAATCAAAAATTTGTCCATTATTGAATTTTCAGAGTATATTCATATGCAAGCGCTGTCTGAAATTGAAATAAAAGTGCGTAAAACGAAATTAAAAGTCAATGAAGATTTTTCTTTTGAGAGAGTGAGCTTGTTCTATTTCCTGGCTGAGTTGCTGCAGAAAAGTGGGGGCAATGATTTGGCTGCTTCCGGAATTTATTTATGAATCTGACACCGCCGTTATGTTTGAAAAGTGTTTCTAAGAAATTAAAAGAAATGTAAAAGAAACTTGGCACACAGGTCTTTTCCGTTTTTTGCTCTGTATTAGGACCTATGCTTTTCACTATTTATCCTTTCATCAATATGCTGATGACACAAGTATAGTATCTGAAATCTCTCACCAAAATACCACTTCTCAACTCGATAGACTTATCTCTTGTGTCTCATCAATAATGGATTGGCATTCACTTAATTTCCTTTAACTAAATGCCCAAAAATCTGAAATAATGTTTTTTGGCACACCACAGCAACTCACAAAATGTTCTCCACCCTCCAACGTGACAATTGCTGGATCAAGCCTGTCCGCATCAACAAGCCTTAAACTTTTAGGAATTACTCTTGATCCGTCTCTAACTTTCAAAACTCACACTTCTGCTCTCATCAAAATATGTTATTACATTATTTGGTCTATTCGCCATATTCGACCTTTTCTCACAGTCGAAATGACCTCCACGCTAGCACGCTGTCTTGTGTTATCTCGCCTTGACTACTGCAAATCTCTGCTATATGGCACTCCGGCGTATCTAATTTCTTCTCTTCAGATCATTCAAAACAGATTAGCCAAACTTGTTTTACAATTACCTCGTTCATCTTCTAGTTCAACATCTCTTGCTCACCTGCACTGGCAGCCGATTCATCAACGCATTAAGTATAAAATAGCTTTCATCGCATATAAAACACTCAGCACATCTCAACCATCATATCTTCACAAACTCATTCACCTTCGCTCGTCTGTTAATCATCGCCGTCACCTTCTTCTGCCGTCGTCATTGCAACTGCATCAACCAGTCAATACCTCAGCTCTCGTCAATAAAGGCTTCTCACATTGCTCACCATCAATATGGAACAGTTTGCCACTCATCATCCGTCAACAATCATCGATAGAAACGTTTAAAAAGCGAATGAAGCAGCATCTGTTTGAACGGGCCTTTGGCGGCCGTGCTGACACTTGTTTATCCGAGCGCCTCTGACGCTATGCATAGGGCGCTCATAAATGACGTTATTATTATTATAAGGCGTATTTTACAGAGGTTCAACTTGGGTTTTAGTAAAGGAAGGACTAGATAAATTGGTTAGAACTTGGAGGTGTGGATTGAGAAGAGTTTATGGAACAAGTTGGAGAGAAACGATCAGTAGCGAAGTTTGAAGAAAGACTTTGAGTTAGAGTGTATCTCCAAAGTGATTTAAATTGGGCGTTTAAAATGTTTTTTAGTTTATTGAAAAGAAAGATTAATCGGATTGGATCTAGATCACTTTTGTTGATTGCATGTTTGCTAGATCACGAATGTCACATTGCTGGCCTAAAATATTTTTTGTGCTTATATTTATTCAAGTCGGTTTCTGTTTGTTTTTATGGTCTCACTCTATTCTTCTTGTTTCTCAAACATTTTGAACATTCTTCAAAGTTGTTATGCACTTGTTTTATTTTGCATTCATGCTCATTATTCTATACCTTTGTTATTAAACTTCAAATTTAATGTGGGTGTAGTTCCTCGATAAGTCTACATAAATTTAATTCTCCTTTTGAATGTATTAATATTCATTTGTTATATCATTTTTAACATATCGTTGAAAAGTTTCTACTGAGTAATGTGCTTCAAAGTTATTAAATTAACTAACTAACCAATTAATTTAAATAAAGTAAACTTGTTGTCATCGTAGATATTACGCAGATCAGGTCCCGAAGAAAAGGCGTTGGTAATTGTTCGTTCAATAAAACATCACTACTGCAAGAATTCGGTGATAATCATTGGCATTTGTTTATGGGATGGATTGCCTGAAGAGCATGCCACTCAACTGTATGATTACTTGAGAATGACTCTGCCCAAATGTGCTGAAGCCACTGAGAGGAGGTGTGCCACTAACGAAAAGTTAATACATTTTCGTTCTTTCTTTCACAGTTAACAATTTTTTATATGTTTTATTTACTGACAAAATATTTTGCACATGTTTTCATCTGAGCACTATTGAGTACTATGGTGATATATTGTAGAGTTAGAGCACCCAGTCTTGCATAGCAAGTGACCGTGTTCCAATGTGATGAAATCTGCATCCATCATATAATAAAAACGTCTGCATATGATAAAGCTGTGTTTATTAGACGTTGAACAACGCCAGTGAATACTGCGGGAATGGCGCTATACAAATTACAAAGATTGGTTGATTGATTGATTGATTGATTGTTATTTTTGTTATTGTATTTTTGTTGATATTGTCGTTACCTTATATTTTTTATGTTGTTGTTACTGTATAGTTGTTGATGCTGTTACTTGATAGTGGTTGCTGTTGTTACCAGGAGGACATGTGCGTGTCAGGGATGGAATGAAGAGACAGGTGGAGCATCCTTCAGCTTTGGTTGTTCGTGGAGCATGTATTATAATGGATGTAAATTTGCCAGAAGTGCGTCACCGAGAAAATTTCATCTCAAGAACAACAACATTGAAGAGGTATTTGTTCATTTCGTTAATTTTGTTTTGCATCTTTTGACTACCTGCATTTATTTATATAACGCTTAATAATTGTCATATTTTGCTTATTTACACAGGAGTTGGTGTTGGAGCATCACCTGCAAACACTGGCAACCGTTGTAGCTCCCATCTACAAAAAAGTGGCTCCTCTATCTTTTGAGAATCAGGCATGTCGTTCTTATCACTATTACAATTTTACAGTTGATGACAGACAGATTTGTTAATATCGAAGTAACGATATCGTCGATATTGTACTTTCGATACTTTTTCAGTATTGACTACGGTGCCTTCAATACATTTGTTACGTGGTATCGAATTTGATATCGAAAATACTTTTTAGACTGAAAAATTTCGATAGTCAATTCCAACGCTTTTGATCAAAACGTTAAATTTTTATCAAATATTTTTTTATTCAAAGTTATGAGCTTATTTTAATTACTTTTAAATTTTTTTGTCGTTTTATTTTTTATGCGTCTCCGAGTTGTTTACTATCATGCTTTTTTCGCTTTCGTTCTGTTCGTTTTCATTTCGTCCCATTTTCTCTCTTCGATTTGTATATCACTCATTAAAATTCTTAATTTGTTTTAGATAATATTTTAAAATGAATGATAAAGAACGTCTGTTTTCTTTGGGAGGTAGAGTTTTTACACCACTACGATCCAAACTAAGTAATTTGCTTATTGAAATGATGGTGTTTTGCCTGCTGCAAGGTGGTGACAACGTTAAACATCATTTGAATTTATAACCTTTTTATAAATATTTTTTAATTATAGTTTACTTTTTAAGTATTTTCCAATTTGTTATCATTATCCCATGAATAAAATTGTTGAATTGTGCTCTATTTTTCATAGATGTTAGATGTAAGCATTTAATTTCACGTAACAGTCAATAAAAATGACGAAAGTATTGGTATTGATTGGCAACACTTGAAACTGAGTTAATTTCTCTATTTAATCAACAACGTTGTCTAATGATACGCGCATGTTGTGACATACAATCGCAGGTGGCCTTTGAGGACGAGGCATCTGGGTGTCGGCTCGGTTACAAACCAGGCAGGCCATGGTCTGGTGTCACTGCTGTTGTCGACTTCTGTACTCACTCACACAAAGATTTCAATAATATGAACAATGGATGCACTACTGTGAGTTGTTAGACATCTATTCAACTTCATTACACGTTATCTTTCTTAGAAATGTTATGCCACGGTTTTAAAAACTCCAACAGGTTTTAACACTGACGAAGCACAGAGGCTCGGGCAAGCCTTGCGATGAACAGTTGCACGTGTTACCTCTTTGTGTACTTGATGAGACGGATGAACATGGAAGTAGGGATGGTGTAGTAAAAAGGATGAAATCAGGCTCCATTGAATGTCTCACGTCTTATCCATCTCTCATAAGGGTTCGTTCAAAACCATTCATCTGCAAAAACAAAATGAGAACTCTTAAGGCTAACTTGAGGAAAAAAAATCTTTTGAACAACTCCTTGAAAACGAAACCAAAAAAGTTGAAAACATCGAACGTTGAATTCAACAGATTGATATTAAATGGTCATAATAAGTTTCACAGTGAAATGGATACTAATTGTTTAAATGTTGTGAGTGGGTGTAAACTGAATTATGAGCAGAACGTCATAGAACGAAGCACGGTTGGTTCGTGTCAGAATGAACGTTTAGAACTAAATTCTAATGCAAGAGCCAACGTTCTTCCTGCCTTCTCTCCACAATCGAACCATCTTATCAACAGACGTTATTTGTCATGGGGGGATGATTTACCTTCATCCAATGATTTCACATCTCCGCATTGCCCATCACCAACAAGTTCATCCAACAACTTCGCCACTAATATATCAAACAAACCAGTTCAGAACTTTCCATCTTCACTGAATGCAAACAGATGTGCAGATGTTGCTCACATGAAGTTTGAATGCAATGACCAGACGGGGCCTGATACGCTGAATAAAATTTCTTCTGACAGTCACGATGGTGTGATATGCAACAAGATCGAAGCAGCACCAGTGACCACCGGTGCACTGACAGATGCAGGATGTGGTGGGTCAAGTGGAAATATCAGTGAGGAACGCGAAAGGAACATTGATGAGTTGCGTGGTGATGATAACAACAACAGTAGGTTGCATAATGATGATGATAGTTCGTCGCATAGTGGTAAGTTACAGATGTGTCGTTGGATGGGTGACGTTCAAAACAATTTCACAAAACATGATGCATCAGTTCAGAAAGACATCAATGTATGCAATGCACGTGACTTACATAACTCACACAAGCATTCACCTCCACCTCAATCGCTCGAATGTAATGGCCATCATAAGAATAATGTTGATGCTCTTCCTTCAAAAAGAAAATTTTATGAATCTCCAATGATGATGAAGCCCGTTGAGGAAGATGTGAAACGTTTCATTGATTCAAACCTAGGAAACGACGGGGGTTATAAAAAGTTAAAGCTGGAATGGCCGCATGAATTATTTCAGCAGCCAGGAAACAACGGGGACTGCGAAAGAGTAAGGCTGGAATGGCCGCATGAGTTATTTGCACAGCCTAATTTGATGGAACGCTCTAGTTGTGCAAATGTTTCAAATGTTCAGTCACAGTCGTTTGTGAGTTCACCATTAAAAAGCAATATGCTGGACAATAATGTTCAGAAGCCTTCAACCGTCAACTATTTCACCTTCGTCGCGCAGAGAAATTCTTTATTGAGTGCTCCAGTTAACGAGCAATCACCTCAAAATTTCGACAAAATACTACATTCTACCTTTCCAAGTGGTGCGGATGATTCTTCAATGAGAAATAAGCAACTGAATGACCATTTGAAAATTGATAATGTCGACCAACCAGGTGAATTCTTCACCACAAACTTGAACGTTTTTCAAGACAGTTCTGTTGGAGGTGTGGCAGTTGCTTTAACTCACGGTTCCTTGCTGTTCGAGGTGGCCAAGCGAGAGCTGCATGCTACCACCGCCCTCAAACAACCAAACCGATCGGAGCCAACGCGAATGTCCCTGGTCTTCTATCAACACAAAAGTCTCAACAAGCCTCATCATGGTCGCGAAGATTACGAGAGAAAATGTAAGGAAAGAAAAGAGAAGAAGTTAATTGAAGAAAAACTCAAGCAACAAGTGCAGCAGTTCGAGCTAGAAAAACAACAACATCAACAGCAGTCTACTAATCAGCAACAGCAATCGATTGACCAGCAACAACATTTAAACGATCATCAACACGTCTCTTGTCAACAAAACGCGTCATATAATCAAGGTAATTATTATGATGAACTCATTCCAGCCTACCGTTTACAACAGTTATCAAAATGTTTACATCAATCACGTGATTCTCAGATGCAATATCAACCACATGTACAACAACGATCACAAAATCAAATTATCGCTCAACAACATCAATTTAATCAACAACAACACCAACATAATCAACAACCGATACAAACATATCAACATCATCTACAACAATGTCCGCAACAACGTCAACCACAACATAAACAAGAGCAACAAGAGGATCGACAGCAAACTCATCATAAACTTCCAAATCAACATCAAGATCAACCACACGTTCAGCATCAACAACAATATCCAGAACATTATCTACAACAGTATCCACACCAACAAAATTTACAGGCTCATCAACCTCTGCAGAACAAAGACCTACCACGACAACAAAAACAATATTTACACTATTCACAGTTACACTCATCTCAGCTGCTGCAACAACATCATCACCTACAGCAGCAGCAACAACAACAACAGCAGCAGCAGCAACAACAACAGCAGCGACAACAACAACAACAGCAACAACAATTGCAATCACTGCAGCAGCGACAACAACAGCAACATTCACAACAACTATCACCAAAGCAACTTCAGCAACAGCAACAAGAACATTCGCCACAAATTCAGAATTTCAAACAATTCTCGCAACAAACTCTACTAAATTATTCACAATATCTTTATGAACATATGTACCATTCTCAAACACAACCTCAATATCACTCACAACAATTACAACAACAAAATTTTCAACATCATCCACTATATTTACAACAACACCTCCAGCTATTACAGCAATCACAACAACATACAGCTCAACAACCACATCAGCAACAACAACAACAACAATATTTTTTTTCACAACCTCAACGTCATGAACAAGGACATCCATCTCAACAGCCACAACATCAACAACAAGCATCTCAACAACAAAAGCATTCACCTCAACAACATTTTCAACATCCATTTCAACAACTTCAACATCAACAACTGCATCTGTCTCGACAATCACAACATCAACGTAATCAACAATTATCTCATCAACCACAACAACAGCATCTATCCCAACAGCTACAACATCAACAACAAAAACAGCTACAACAACAATCTCTGCACCCACAACAGCAACATTCAACTCAACAGCCTCAACATCAAGAACAGCCACAATATCACCTACAACATTCATCTCAACAACCACTACCTTAACAACAATTTATACAACATCAACTTGAACATGAACAAGAACATGACCACAAACAACTGGTACAAAATCAACACGGACAACAGCATCAGCACAACTCACGTAACATCCGTAACTTATTTAACTTTTTGAATTAACCATGTTTGGAGACATCATCGCAAACGACATCATTACAACAACTTGGGTCTAACAACATTAGGGGAATTAGGGATTGGTGTTATTAATCAAATAAATTGATGTTAACAGTCAAGCAAATCGATGTTGGCAGTCCAAAATTGATACTAGCATCAAAAAATTGATGTTAGTTATCTTCAGCATCCGCCATGTTTTATGAGATCTTTTCAGGCAGCAGCACAGATCAAAGCCTGGATGTTAAATGATACTCCGTATTTTGATGAATTTTTCAATTCCAAAGAAATCGTTTGTAGTATGCTGATTACGTTTGGATTTTATATTGTGGAAGGAGAAAATGGAAAATATGCTCTCGAGTGCTTGAGTATAAACAATGCAACAATTACATAATTGACTTCGTAATCAGTTTCAATGCAGTTGAGAGTAATTAAAAATTAGCCGATTTAAAGGGGTATGGCAGGGTACTTCATTGGTTCTGTCGGTTTGACGGCTGGGCTGTGGCTTGGATGATCACAGAATGTCGATGCATGCAAGTTGTGAAAGTGATCTCATTTGCAATTCAATTCAAATTTTTTAATTTATTTAATTGTCCAGTCAATCTACAGTTTTCATAATTAACAAAAATTATTTTTAAAGAATTTTTGTTTGATTTTAGTGTATCTTGTATTTTGGTATTTATTTTAAATCATATCGTTTCATAGCTTTATTGGTCGTTATTTTAAAACCTAATGAATTTTTAAATAATGATGCATGAAATTTGTGAATGTAAAATTATTAATCAGAACTTTTCTAACAAAACATTTTCAATTACAAAGCATTACATTTTGACATTTTGCAAATTCATAAGTATCCATTCTTATTTTATTTTTTCAATTGCAACAAGTTTTGTTTGACAGTTCTAAAATCTTCAAGAAAATTATTTTGATTGAAGAAATTTATTTTTTTCAGTTGTAAGTTTTCGTTTGTTTGCTTTATAAATTATTGTATGCGCAATTCAATTTTTATTTCATTCAGTTATAAATTAAGTTTCTTTTTTGTCATGTACGTTTGAACTTAGCCTATTAGATTTTTTGAATTTTATTTTCAATTTGTTAAGTCAAACTTCAGTTAATTTATTGATAACTTATTAATATAGTTTAATGAACTAATCTAATATTTTTCTAACTGTCTGCCTTTCATTAGCATTAGCTGAAAACATTTAATTTTTCTCATGATGTTTTTGCTTCTCAGGTACCAAATACAACAAGAAAACAGTGTATGTATAAATGCATGTATACATATGTATATATATTAGGAATGCGATGGTTCCAGATTCGATTCCGAATCCTGGGATCAAATAAGATTCGGATTCGACAAATTCAGCGCTATGGATTCGGGTCCACTGTTATTGAATAAAGTAAGATTTAAAAAAATAATTTAGTTACATAATTTTCAACTAAAAACCAAAAGTAACAAGTTATAAACTTCTCTGAATCGCACATTATTTTTTTCCAACATGTGTTCGTAACTACAGTCCGTTCACATTCACACATCTCTATTTTCTTATTACATAATGGGACGCCGTTAGTTGATACGTAAATCGTTACATTGTTAGGTATTGTTCTTGGTGTATCAATTTGGCGCATTTCTAAATCAACATGTGCAACAGTTGTTTCTAGCTCCTTTGTTGTTCAGTTTAGCAGCGTTTCGAATTGTTTTACAACCATTACTTTTAAAGTTTGTTTTGGTTTGTTGACAACATCAACATTGTGTTTAGGCAAAGATTTCGTGATAAGAATTATTGTAAATTTTATGATAACGTCATATAGTATATAGATTAACGTCAGTTTCTTTTTGTAAATTTTTTCTTTTATTCTATTTTACAACCGAAAAATAGTCATTTTAGCTGTAACGCTAACAACAATAATTTCTGGACTAATGAGAACAAGATTATTGCCACGCATGCTCCTTGGATCTGGATTTGGACCACTTGGATTCAGATACCTCAATTTCGTGAATCCGTCCCATTCTTAATGTGTATTTATGTATATATATATATATATATATATTATATGTGTGTGTATGTATATATATGTATAGTGTGTGTGTAAAAATTATGCATACACCTAGCAATCACTTTGATGGTTACCTACACCTCACTCCTAAATATACAAATTAACAATAAACATTAAACGATAGCCTAAATTTTAAATAAAATGGCAGCTACTACATAAGGCCTACTACTGCTATATATTATTCTTATTATAACTTTGGCAGCTTTTAAATATTTTACAATTTAATAAACGATTCTAAAGTCTGAATGGTCGTTGTCTTTAGTGCAGTAATTGGCGCTATACAGAATTTTCGGAACAGCCATAATTTAAAGTGACTTATAGAAAACCACTAGATAAATCATCATTTTAATAACGTGGCTATTTTTGTTTGGTTTCCGGAGTCCGGGTTTCTTAACTTTTTACGCGTTTACGTATTTACCGCTGCTGTCGCATTAGTGTTTCTCAAAAAATTGAAGCATTTAAAATCTTACGAGTGTTAAATTAATCTATATCATATATATAAAATATAACATATATACATATATATATATATATATATAGAGAATATAACATATATGATCTATACATTTTTGATTCATCGTTGTAACAATATTTATGTTTATTTTTAATTTTATATCAATAATTGTTTATCTAATTTGTAACTATTGTTCGATTTAGTAATATAACGGTAATTATGTAATTAACGACATTAAATATTTCTCCAGAAGTTTTTGACCAATATGTTCATTTATTACATAAGAAATATAAGTGCTCTTTCCTTGAATTTTTAATCAGTTTTTCCGAGTTTGGGATAGAGATCTTTAGCAACAAATAAATATACAAGAATGTGTGAACATAACATATCTAGAAGTGTTATATATCTACGGTGACATCTGAGATATTTAAGAGTGTACAGTTCGAGTAAGTTATTACATACATGTGTGTGAGTGTGTGAATGTCTGTGACTGATATGAAGTTCATTTTTCCAATTTTTCTTACTAAAGTTTTCTGGAAGTTGTCTACCATATTAACTTTAAGAAGAAAATTAGTATCTAAATTCCCCTTAGCTTGATTTTTCATGAAAAAGCCGACCAACAGATTATCTAAATAAATAGAAGGCTAAATACACAAATTTCCTGAGAACCAAATCATTTAAATCATCGATACAAAACTCCCGAAGACATTGCTCAGTTGACCTCCCTGTATTGTTTATCCAATACGGCAATACGCCTATAGAAAATTTTTGAAATGTTAACGTTGACTGGGTTTGAATATTTTTCAAGGAAATTGTTGATGATCGGAGGGTATTTTCACACCGCCCCCCTAGTTCCGCTTCTGAATGTGTCTGTTCATTATACGTTAAATCATCACATCAGTACTCTAAAATCGCATGGATGACATAGTGTGTTTGTTATTTAATGATAGAGTAAATGAGTTTTTAGGACAAATTTTAATTTTTCTTATTGGTTTTGAATGCTGGTATGCTGAATTGTAAAGTAGATTGATTTGTGTGCCTGTTATAGTGTGTTTGTGGAGATTCATGACAAGTGTGTTGTTAGACGTGGACATTAACTTTTACTAAGTATAAAAATCACATGTGTAATGCTTCAAAAACGAACGAATCTATCTTAAAACGAATGTTAACAGATGTAAACACTTTAACAACTCCCGCCTAAAAAAAACTGTACACGTCAAAAAATGTTATATTCGGGAAGAAAACTATGTCGCCGCGACGTCACGCCATACTAAAAAGAAAATGCTATGAAGACACTCTTAAAAACTTGGAAAACTGTAAATGAAATTCGAGCTACATGTAACACCCTTGGCCTTAACAATAACACTAATCTCCAATCAAACTTTATGGATATATATATATATATACATATATATATATATATATATATATAACATATATTACGTCATATTTACATGTCAAACATAAAAAAATCTTTTGGACCATCTTTGTTGTTATAAAACAGCCCGGGGTGAATAAACAATAAAAGGAGTCGACGTCAGCACAAATAATGATGATGAAACGAAACACTAATAACAATGCAGCCGATAAACAGAATGTACAAAGACAAAGGTGATTACTGATTATAATCAATCAATATAAAGAGCACCTTGTTAATTTTTTGAATATACCTCTGCAGCATATATTATAGAATAAATGAAGATTATTCGTCAATCGAAATAGCTCCTACCTGCAAAAAGAATTCATATACTAATTTTCTTGTTAATGTTAATAAACTACATAATAAAAAAATTTTCTGAGTAAATCTTTAAAATAACATCACTACAAATAAAACCTAACGTTCATTTGATGTATGTGATATATTATTTAAGAGAGAAAAACAAAAAAACGAATCACTTTTCAAGATTTATTTAGAAATAAAAAGTAAAAATGACAGTTTAAAAAATTGGTGTTTTTATAGTTGAGTCCTTTGGGATACAAAGGTTGTTATATTGAAAAAATAAAACATTCAAAGCAATGAAAATTAAAAAAATGTTAAATTTACTGCTTTTAAGTAAAAATGTGTTCTCAACTTACATTTCTAACACTACCATCTTACATATACGCTAAAAATGAGATTAATCAGTGTTAGAATTTTGCAAAACAAAATACTTACTATCAATCAAATTATAAGATAGATCATTCAAAAAATATTCAGATTTTAAACAAATACTCATTACCATTTACTTAAAATGACCACTGGCTTGCATGAGTAAGATGAATTTATGAATTGGTTAGAGTGTATGGTTTGTAATTGTGGGCTGTTTTTACACCTATGTATGTCAGCAGCCCCCCGGATATGATCGTCAGAATGATTGAGGCAATTTCAAAGCCCCAAGAATATGATAAGCGGTTGTTATTCGGGTCCCCACCAAGCCAGTAATCCTTGCACTGTAACTTGAATGCATTATCAGCGAAGGCAGTAGCAGCCATCACCATAAACAAACCTGCAAATAATTTTGGGTTCTGATCAAGAGAAAGTTCAAGCAAAAGGTGTTCCAAAATTAATTTACTTAATTAATTTATCTGCATTTTATGAGATTTTGAAGAAGAGTTTAATTAATTATTAATGTATGCCAAATTTTGATGAAGATTACATGAGCCTATGTATAAATTTAAAATGATAAAAGGTGAGAAAATTTACAAGGTAATGCAAAAAGGATAAAAGAGTGTCACCAAAAGTCCATAGAACAAACTACAAATAATTTAAAAAGAATAAGAATTTAAATTATATGGAGAATCTTCATCATTCCACTTATCATTATTAATAAAATCT